CATTCATTAAAATATAATTAAATTCAAAAACACTACTTAAAATATAAATGAGCACATACATTAAATTAATAAAAATTACCTTACAATCCTAATTACTTTAAACTAAATCATTGCTAATAACAATTTTCCCAATAATACCAAATTCCTTTCCACCTTACATTTAGAACAATGCATAAAAATAATATCCTTAAATAATTAAAAATACTAACTTACCTAATCTTCTTCAGAATCTTTATTACGTGGCGGATACACTTTTCTAATTCATTCAATAAAATTATTGAAAGATTTTTTCTGCGAATTTTTCTTCCATACTTCCTCCGCTAAATAAAAAGCAAACTTCTCTTTATCACAATGCATAAATACCCATTTCGAATTCACTTTAGTCAGGGCCATGGGATCCAAAAATTAAACAACACTGTTTCACACAACACAGAATAAAGCTAAATACAAAATTTCCAAATTTTTTCCCGATTTCCCCCCTTTTCCGATTAAAGAACCGTAATTCGTCCATTAATATCACATGACATATCCCATGATCTCTCATTTCCCTCACGCAAAATAATGCGTAATCGGAACTGAGTACTGCTCACATTATTACCAAAGTCCCAGGTAGTAACCTTTATCGCCTCCAAAATGTCGCCAAACTACCAGTTACCATATTGTAAAGATCAACCAAAACAATTTGCATGTCTTTTCAGAAAGAATCCGATTTTGTGTCAAAGTACCTATGTTAGAACAATGCTATATATAAATTGGTAAATTTCTGTTTCGCCGGTACAAATCTCACCAAGCACACTTTATTGGCGACAACATACAGTATGCACATAAAAATTTTTAACAAATGTTAGTTCTAAGAATTTTTTTATTTTGAAGGCATAAAGATTTTAATATCATTTAAAATTTTGTAAAAGCCAATAAATTTGTAAAAAGACTTAATTTAAGAATTTACTATGCTTTCATGGTTCAGCATCCTGACTCGCCGGTTCATATCACGTGACCCCAAGTGATCTCATCTCAAGTAAACTACGCTAAAAAAAATATAATTCACTTGATAATTATCTACATTAACCCTCTCGGCGTTATGACCGCTTTATCCGGTCATCAGAAGTTTTGCTACTTGGTATATATTAGCTTATAATTTAAGATATTTTGCTTTCTTACTTTTTTTAATATTGTAAATATCTTCTTAATGAATGTAAGTTTATGAAAATGCAGACTAAAATAAGTAATTATACAAACTAAATTAATAAATGCTGTTTAAATACTGGTCTTCATGATGGATCTAAAATCTTGTGCCACTGAGAGGGTTAATTTCAAATTAAATCTTAATTTGAAATACAAGTTTAAACGCAAGAATTCGTTTAATTTGTATGAATAGCTTACTGAGAAATTATGTAAATTTTTCAGTGAATTTCTTCGCTAGTGCATTCTCATTAGAATTAATGAATTTAACCCTTGACTTTACCTTTTCTATATTTTCGGCTTCCGGTAAGCAGTGTGATTGCATTCTAATTGACTTAATTACCACGAATGGCCTTAGGGCATAAAATTGAACTATCTGGTAAACATTTTATGTAGTTTTATGCCAGTATTGAAAGAAACAATCAATCTGAAGAGAAATGGCTGTGACTTGTTTTGAAAATGAGGCATAAAAGGTTACCATTGTGAATATTCCGTTTGGCATCAGTTGCACCATTATCAGCGACTTTATTGCCTGCGCCAGCAAAACGGAAAAGTACCTATAAATCTAATACATATCCTAAGCTTTCAAGACATGGAAAACGCAATTTGAATTTCATCAATCATGGCAGTACAACAGGAGATATAGAACTGTCCCCCCTTTTTGGTGCAGTGTATATATGTATATGTCTATGCACACACATGCATTTATAAATCCAATCCTGATAAAAGAAAAGTACCTCATTTTGTCTCATCAATATAATTCTAACCTTTTATAGAGATAATCAGAAAGTACCACAAAATTACAGATGGAATTTCTGAAGAAGGTGTTTTAATTTTTAGTGAAATGAATGAAAAAACAAATAGACAGCGGTAGATGAATTATTGTAATTAATACAAAGATACCCAAACATTTCTCTCCAGATCTGGAAATGAGTTCTCGACTTTATAGTGCGAGATCAGATAATCAGAAAATACTTTAGATGCTACGAAGAACCCTAATTATAGCATAAAAATAAATAAAAAAACAGAATAAAATTTATTAAAAAAAAAAGAAAAAAGTTAAAAAACTTCTTTATAAGTTTATTTGGTACAACTCTAATATACACCCTAATTTCACCAAATGTGGCGATATGTGTTCTGTGCTGGTTTTTGGCACGATTGCATGTTCTATGGCAACCCTGTTGACGTTGAAAAATCTTTCGCTGGAGCTCGTTGGTTTGCCTCTGTGTTTGAGAAGATGAGAGGGAAAGATAAAATGGTAGTTGTTGAATTGAAGTTCGGCAAAAGGAAATATGATTGTGGCTATCCTGTTGAGGGGTAGTGGGTATTTGGAAGTGTGGAAAGAGGGTCTGGGAGATTATTTTTAATGGCAGTGCATAATAGAAGTAGGGATTTGTGATTTTATTTATTTGTGAACCAACCATAGTATAAATTTTCTGGATAGTGTGTCTGACTGTCATGTAAATACGATAGTGATTACGTGGTGGCATGTTAAAGGCGGTATGAAATTTATATTTCTGCTATTCGAAAACGCATTAATTCATGGTAAGTGCATTTTATTTTATCCTTGTTCTTATTTTGTAGAATGTTATGTTCATTGGTTCTTTAGTATGAATTTCTGTCGTTATTGTTGTTTTTTTCAATTGTTTGAAATTTATTTTAGTTTATTTTGTTGTTTAGTGTCTAGACTGTACAATTCGTAGATGTTTTTTAAAGTTGAAACAGAACGCTGTGTACATGGTATTATTTGAAATTTATTGTTGTTATGTTATTTTATTAAAGCGAGGAGTGCATAGATCGTACATTCCTTCCTTGCCTAAATTGTGCAATTCGTAGAATTTTTTTTAAAGTTTAAACAGGATGCTGTGTACATGGTATTCTTTAAAATTTACTGTTGTTATGTTAATTTATTAAAGCGAGGTGTGCATAGTTTGTAGATTCGTTCGTTCCTACATTGTGCAATTTGTAGATTTATTTTTAAAAGTTTTAACTGGATAATGTGTACTAATTCATTGAAATGTATTGTCAATTTAATTTATTAAAGCGAAGTGTACATAGTTTGTATTTGTTTTTGCCTAGATTGTGCAATTTGTAGATTTTTTTTAAGTTAACATGTCGCTGTGTACATGGATTCTTGTCAAATATTTTTAGTTAGAAACTTTACGTTTTTGCTATCTAAATTTTTTGTTTCAAATTTTTAGCTAAATTGTGTGTTCAAAGCGTAGTTTTGCATGTGCGAAAATCGCGTTTTTGGAGACATTTTAGGCTTAAAGTTCAAAATGTAGACAAAAAATCTAGATAGTGAAGTGAAGTTTCTCGCCAAAATATTTGGCAAGAAATTTGGCAACTTGAGGGCGCATATCAGAGTAGTTCCGTTTATTTATATAAAGTTTGAATACTGTTAATGATGGGTATGCAACTGAGGCTATTTTACATCCCTCACAAAAAATTTCTCAAAAGTTAATAGGTTTTTTCGTTTTAATAATGAATTAAACCTGTTGTAATTGATTCAATAGTAAAAGTCATGAAGGGAAAAAAATCACAGTGAAAATTAATTTCCAACGATTTTAAACATTCCCTGTGCAGTGTTGGCCAAATATACTTTTTCACCAGCGGCAGAAGGTATCTTAATACCTCCTAGAAGTCCATGTAACTACCCATTCAATCTGAACCTTAAAACTGCCCTACTTCTACACTTTCACATTAGCATTTCATTCCAGCACAATTAATAGAATGAAAGAAATGTGCGATGGTTATGAAGACGATCTCTGGAAATTTTTGCTTATATAATTTTAAACAGATGATTAATTGTATTGAAATAATTAGCAGAATCACTGACAGAATTCACAAAATTTTTAAAAGGAGCTAAACTTTGACTACTAAGGATCAAGGAAACTCTAGCTATTATGCAGACAATTCTCATTCTTCATTTTATCAAACAGTGCTGCCATTTTTATATGCATTCCTTTTTTGTATTCAAGTTCCAAAGGCTTCTAAAGACAAATCAACGTATATTTTGTCTTAAAAATCAATTTTAAAATAAGCAATTATGAGATTTATTTGTGATATAAAAAAATTGCAGATACACTTCTGTTATCAGGATAGGATTCAGAAATGTATGCACGTATGATTTGTGTAAGTATGATGTGTGTAAGCAATTCATATATACATGCATATATGAATCCATCCATCTATACTTACATTTCTGAATCCAGTCCTGATAACTGAAGTGTACTGTACCCTTCTGTTATCAAGACAAGATTCAGGAATGTATGGACTTGTGTCTGAATGAATGTGACTACATGTGCATATACATTTCTGAATACAGTCCCAATAACAGAGTACCAAAATTTTTAGAGGAATACAGTATTTTTCCACAAAACTGCTGATGCGAACAAGAGCTTAGAATCTATTTTAAAAGTGATTACCATGAAACTTTCACCTGAAGAAAAGAAACAGAAACTCACTTGTAAACAGGTTTTTGATTGTATTTCCAGGTAAATACTTAAGAATAAAATATGTATCTATGTATGTAAAAAAGATTTTAACTTCGGGTATTTCTATGATTCTCTTAAAACCTGATGAGCGATAGGAAAAAATGAATGTCATGTTTGGATTTAATGATGTGAAGACTATTGAATCCAAACAAGAACACAAGATTTCTATAGGGAAAAAAAAAAAATAAATAAATAAAAATTCACATCATTACCAGCAGCAATTACATATGTTGCATTACAGCATACTTGTAAGTAACATTTATTAGCATACTGATACAAACATGAAAATTCAATTTTAAGAAAATACGCAAAAATTATTACCAACGGCTAGAAGAGCAGATCCGTCACTACGGGACAAATTACTGAATTGAACAGATAGCATATTGATATGCACTATTCGATAACAATGAATACAATTAGTATTTTCAATACACTCCGAATTTTCTCAGCGTAAGCAACAATACCTGTTTTAAAAATGCGAACTACAAATATAGGATATTTTGCACCTTGTCTAAATCTTTTTGCCTCCAGACGAAAATCAAAATATTAGGAAGGAAATAGGCAAACTAGCAAAGTTATCCAACATTTCTTCCAGTCTAAATAGATGGTGAACTTCCAATAAATTATTGTTATATATTCGTTTCAAAAGAAATGCTCTCAGTTTCAAAATAACAAGTGGAACAGTGTTTTTTGACAAAATTACGATTTTGGTTGAGCAGATAATAGGGCGTTATATAGAGATCATTCACAAATCGATACTAAGGGGGATACCGAAGGAAATAGATGTCGGAAAACTAGTCGGAATTCTCTTTTCAGTCGACAGCAAGCGAGAAGGCGAGTCTGACTTAAGGTTCCTAGCTCCTATACACCAGAGGAGCCTTAGTCTGACCCTTTCAAATTCCGTCGGTGGAAAATGATGTGGAAATTCCGCTCGGAAGTGACGTTTATTGCATAGCAACCAGTCTGTCTCAACAAAGAATCTATAGGGAATCTACCTATAGATTCTTCGGTCTCACCTCCACATTGCTCGAGGCTCAGGGAAAGTTGATAGTTTGTTGTCAAAAGTGCTGTTTCGCACCTGCTTATCACTAAGGACGGAGGTAACCAAAAAAAAAAAAAAAGTTACCATTTCGAGTAAATGGTGAAATTTTTCGAAAACATCCGCAGCTGTTAAGAGGTAAACTTGATAGCACATTTAGTAAAGAGCACAGAAAAAAGAAATGGGAAGATTTCATGGATATTTTAAACGCAGAAAGAAATGGCCTTCCCAAAACTGCAGATATGTGAAGAAACGTTAGCATAATTTCACGTATGATCTTTTACAAAATGAAAATTTTCTAAAAGGTTACATGTTTGTAAACTATGTGTTAGCAGGAATTTTATTATTAAAATATTTTTTTGTCTTAAAAATTTATACAAGGTCATAACAACAACATTTAGGCATTCTCTGCTCAGTGAAACTGATCACACTACAGGTCCCCTCACTCATGGAACCAGGACGCCTATTCTATGATCATTGGATCTGTCTACAACTTGAGCGAACAATATCGACTAAAAAAAACCGGTATAGACGGCCATCACAACTTATCGGTGAAAGCCATTCTGTAGTCCTCAGTTGGTGGGCAGGTGAGTCCATTTAACTTTACTGAAAGGGGACAAGGTTTCAAGGAGCTTTAGACCAATCGCAGTACAGACGAGTGACGAAATTTATAGCGCGCGCTGGCTGAAGTTCTAGGAATATTCTCCTATTATTTCACACGCTGCATTTGTAGTTCGAAAAAAATTGTACAAAACAGTATTATGACCAACACGCAGCAGAATATGCTGCTGTGTTATGTGAAGGAAAATCCCGTTTTTTAAGGGGAAAATTAACGCAGGAATATTTAGAGCAAAGAAATAAAGAGTGATATGGGATACCACGAAAGCAATGGTAAATAGATAAGAGTAAATGAATTAAGCTTACTTCAGATCCTTTTAGAAATAAACAATTTTAATCATTTAAATTTATAATATGATTAATTTGCAATACAATGTAATAGCAAACTAAGTTTTTTTTTTTTTTTTTTTTTTTTTTCCATGCTTACCTTTAAATAAGAAATTAGAAAGAAAATATTTCTTTCTTATTATTTCTTCCCTTTTTTTTACTTTCTTTTTCTATGAAAATTATTTCTTTCAGGAAAAGAAATAAAATTCATTCGCTATTACAGTATGGCTGATTGCTGCTGCATTCATCTATCACACACGCATCAAAATGCTTTATTTTAAACAATTTATTCTATAATTAACATTATAACTGAAAAAATAAGAAAATATTTTTTCAATATAAAATATATAACCAAAACTTAACTAATCTATCCTGTATGTGTGATTAATTCGTTTTGCAATTTTTGTCACACAATTACTAATACCTTTATTTTTAATATTACATTGCTATTATTTGAATTTTTTATATATATAAGAACTGCTCAGTTTAAATACTCTTCCTTCTCAAAAGATTTTATTCTGTGAAAACAATTAAAAGATAGTAATATTTTCACAACGCAAGTACTAAAGTAAAAATAATCAGTGTAGGTCTCCTGCAGTTGAAGTCCTTGTCAAACCAGCGTTTCGACACATTTTAAATAGAAAACTAATAATAATCAATATCTCTTTTACAATATAAAAATGAGAATGCTATGAACAGTATTTTTTTTTTAATTTGCAAAGAAACAATGATTTTTTAATACTATATTAAGTTACAAAAGTTCCATGAACAAACCCTCAGTCTTATAGCGTTGTTACTTTATAGCATAATACAATAATAATGCAGTATAATTCTGCTAACAAGTATAATTCTCACCACCAGCCGCCGAGCGGTAGAGTAGAGTCGCTGAACGCAGGTAGTTTGGTCCGAGGTTCGAATCCCGCGAACGAGGTGGCCGGCGTTTTCGTGGCTTTCCCCGTGTGTAACTTGTATACGAGCCAGTTTCGCTTAGAAAGTCCTCACTTAGAAACCAGTTTTAAAACGTAATAAAATTACACACACACACACACAAATCTGAAAGCCTTCAGAATTTATATTACTCCCAAAGCGCCATTTTTTTAACGTTTTGCTTGTTACCTTTATTTATTAAATATCATGTTTTTCGCACTTAAACCATAAAATTCAATTCAACAGCAATATCATATAATTTAAAAAAAGCATATCTTTAGAATTTCCGATACACAGTCTCGCGCGCTAGAGATGAAAAAAATTTTTTTTTTCTTTCAATGTTGCCATTGCTCGCTTTGAAATCGTTGGGTTTCTTAATCAAAAACTCATAAATGCTTTACAAAATATGAAATAGATAATAAAACAAATTCCCAGTTCCAAATTTGGGCCTCCAGATGCCTATATTAGGATAGAGGATTACGTTATATTCAGAATTTCATGGTTCAAGGTACCATTGTTTTATCACAGTGCGAGAAACATTCATACATTCTGAATATTCCTCATTATTTAATTTCTTTAAATATAATAGAGTGCGATAATACTTGGTGGCAACGATTTGAAAAGTGAAAACGCCACAAAAATGGCAAAACGAAATTAATAGCCCCTCTGAGCTAACACTTATTTTTAAAAATATCACACTAGTAGTAGTACAGCTACTGAAAAAAATATTATAAGTTAGTTTTAAAGTTTTATATATATATATATATATATTCTTTTTTTTTTTTTTTATTTTACGGTAGTGTGAATTTCGTGTAATAATGAACGACATTCCTTTTTGTGTACACAGTATTATTCGTAAGGTATTCAATTGTTAGATTTTAAAGTAAACGTAATTCTTGCTGTACATAAATCGAGTAGAAGCTTATCGGATGTCTACATTTGTATTAAATCAAGAAGGTTAATGTGCTTGATAAACTTATTATCGTCTACATTTTTAAAGCATACAATTACAATTTATATTTATAATTTCAGGAATAGTATAACCTTTCTTTCAGTAGAAATTGCGTTCTTGTTTTCTGAATGTGGCTCCAAATACTCTCTCAGTTCATCGCAGATTAAAATAACTATAAATTTTGGCAATCTGAAATACGCAATGAAAACATCTTTTGGCAGAGCAAAAGCATCAACATATTTCCTATAAATTCGTCATCGATTCAGAGATCTACGACAGTATTCTTCGCTTAAATATGAAAAAATCAGCGGCATACAAAGTCATTGTCTACTTAGTACGTCAACTGCACAACCCTGATTGACGACGCGGCAACACTTTTTCACGCGCTTTCGACAACTTCCGTACTCCGAGAATATAGGATGTCGAGCAGACCTGTTTTTTTACTAGCAGCGACATCTGGCGGCGCACAACTTGCTGTCGACTCTCGTAGCGTAGAATAACCGTCCAGACACGGAGGTTCAACCTCCGCTCTGGCTCCAGAGAGAGAATACAAGGTCATAAATCAAATCATTGAATCGCTTACGCGTGTTTTGAATTTGAATAAAAAAATTTTTAATTTTTAGCAAATGATGATTATATCAATAATTTTATTTATTCATGAATTATACCTGTCATAAAACTACAGATACACTATGTATCGTAGACATCAATAAGCATTAAACTTTGATGCATTAAAAACGATTTACTAGTGTGTAAAAATATAATAAATTTGTAACAAAACTAATAGAAAAGAAAATAAAAAAAATTATATAACTATAAGTTAAATCACAAAACGTATCATCTTGTATATAAATGTACACACACGCACAAACATATATATATATATATATATATATATATATGTATTATACAAAATAGAATGAAAAATTACATAACAACTGCATAATAATAGAATGGTAGGATTTTCTTTTTATATAAATGAACTTTGGAATTCTTCCGTGTCATTAGATGCAAATGTAGATACGCGGGTTCAATCTACAGCGCCGATGACACCAGGAAATCCAAACTTAACTTTAGATCAAATTCTAATTTGAATATTTTTTTTTTGAAAACCATTTACTGTAAAATTTTATCCATTTGAGGAAAATACTAGAACAAATAACATCTGTAACTTCTCAAATACACCAACTGACATATTTCTGGCTCAGCACTATATATCTGTTATTATCAACATATCTCTGATAACTTCCCAGAAGTATAAAGTTTTAAGGCACACAAAATCGGTTTTAAATAAATAAATAACTATATATATAACTGTAGTATAAATCTATTAACATATGCAGTGAAAGAAATTGCAGAACATATTCGTATTTATACCCCTTTTTAAATCGATCCTACCAGCGGCCGAGAGGTAAAATCGCTGAACGCTGGTAGTTCAGTCCGAGGTTCGAATCCCGTGAACGGGCTGGCTGTATACTCTGGTAGTTCGGTCCGAGGTTCGAAGGGCTGGCTGCATGGGCGTTTCCGTGGTTTACCACATGTGCAACGTGTATACGAGCTAGTTTCTCTTAGAAAGTCGTCCACGAAAGCAACCCTCACCTTAGGCAGATAGCCCTTGAGGCTTTGCCATA